CTATAGCTTAAACTGAACAAATAAATAGCAAAACCAAGCCAAACCACATACACTGAGCATCTACTACATGCCAGGCATTCAGAGGTACTCTTTTGGCATGATACTTTTATTTCTTTTCCAGATAAAAGCTTTAAGAATCAGTCAAAATGACAGGCTTAAAAACGGGGTTCACCTTCTGAGTTTTAAGCAGAGAAGCAGCACGACAGAGGTATGCATGCATGAGCATATTTCTGGAAACGTCAGCTACTCGAAACTAAGAAGCAAGCAGAGCAGGGGAACAAAGGGCTCCGGTGACCCAACTCTTCTCACCTGTGTGCATTGCCGTCTCCTTTCTGTAGAACCTCGATGATTTCTCGCACCGTATGTGCAGGATCTCGGGGGCTCAGTAAATACAACAGGACCTTCCTTCCATATTTGTCATTTACTATGTTAGGCAAAGAACTAATAATTTCCTGGAAAATTAAAGAAACAAAAAATGAACCTATGTGCTTAAAATGATGTACACTTGAAATCTGCAGGGTACAGAAGGATCCATGCCTAACTATTTTCTCCTATGCACTTAACAGAAAATGTGGGGCTAATTTTGAAATCTTGTCCTTAAAGCACAAAGACTGATGCTCAGAACTGATTCTGGACTGTGACCAGCATTGCTGAACAAGCCGTTTATATAACTGACCGAGCTCAAGGACTTAGAAAATCTTTACAGGAGTTCTCTTCTTTCACTACGACCAATAGTTCTCAGGCCACTTTTACTAGGGACACGGCTTGCTGGGGTCACCGAGCAGATATAGTTAATTTGCAGCTGCTTTACATGTAGAATCTGCATCGATGAAGAACATTCTTATTAGAATTTCCCCACTGAGATGTATGTGGAGAGAGATAAAGGAACTCTGTTACATCGAACAAGTGAATAAAGGCTTTTAACATTAGTTGCTTATTCATGGCAAATGAAGGCTGTTTAAGTATTGCATTGAAAACAAAACTAGGGGGACGGGGATCAATGCAGAAAGAGTCCACGGAGCAGTTACAAATAATTACGCTCTATGACATTTCCAATCAACTTCCCAAGAACAATAATCTCCTTTTCTAGTTGTCTGAATTGAACTGACAAAGGCAATGTCATCCCCACCCCAGCTAAGCTCCTGTGTAAATGCGCTGATGTTCTCAAAGTCACGGTTTAAAAATTCCTTTATTCTTAAAAAAAAAAAAAAATCCTTTATTCTTAATAGAGAATCTGCAACAGAAAAAAAAATAGTCTGTTTTCCCCTCTAAAATTCCTAATCCTTGCAACAAGCCTAATAGATATTCACAGCCATAGGTGTTTGCGCAGCACAGATCCGGCACAACAGGCTGGGGCCACAGAAAGAATTCCGTGCAAGTCCTCAGGTTTACAGATGAGGGATCCATGACGGGGAGAAGTGACCTGCTAGAGGACACAGCGTGTCAGTGGCGGGGCTCTCACTCATCTTGGTCCCCTGACTCCATGGAAGGGAATTCTCCGTGAGATAATATACTCAGATGTGCTATTTTCTTAAGTAACCATTGATTATAATGAGATTAATAACTTAATGCAAGGAACCAGTTAAAATGAAGTCGGTCATCGAGGAGATCCCAATAGTACAAAATTTGTGGCCCCAAGGTTGGCAATGCAACTCCAGAATCCACACACCACAGTTCTCTTTTTAAAACCCCAACCTTCCCTCATTGTCTGCACAAAAGTATACTGCGCTTCCTAAAATTAATAATAGCAGCTAGCACTTGTTAGGCACTTAGAGGAACCAGATCCAATGTGAAGAGCAGTATACCCATTATCCTAAATACTCTTCGCAACACCATGACAGAGGGATTATAGTTACCTTCATTTTACTAATAAGAAGCCCAAGGTTTAGATAAGTGACTTGTAGTAGATGTGTAAAGGTCACTCATCCAGGACATGGCTGACCCAAGACCATGGGTTTCCATGGTTTTAAACCCCATTGTACTCTTATTTTTTGAAGATGTTTAAGGTCACATATGAAGATCTCCCCATACAACGTAAAGGTTTGTAGAGAAGAGGTGCAAAAGATCTAACCATCTCGAAATGTGTATGAATTTCAACCATCCAGGAAAAAAAGAACTTAAAATTTCAGTAAGAAAAGGAAGACAGAAAAAAACGTTCATATCTTATCATGAGGGAGGGAGCTCTTTTGTAATCTCAAGGTAAACATGTCCCAAAGTGGGCTCAGGATACGTATTTTTTATAATGAAGCATTTGGTACCACAGATACAGGTTACCTTTAGTGTGGTCTTCCGATTTAAGGTTTAACCAACTCATAAAAGACAGATGCTTTAATCCGTTGATACATAGCTTAGGTCAATTCCTACGATCATTAACCCGCCCCCGCCAAGTTGCTGTCCTTAAGAAAACCACCCTGGGGTATAACATCTTTAGAGCAATTGCTTTTTTGAAAAACAAAAAAACCCAAAAAATCAAAAACCAAAACAAAACCAACAAAACCAAACCCCAGGGGAGTATGCAGTAAAGAGCTACAAGTGGCTGCTGATTCATTTCTAATTAAAAGTTTTTTCCTTTGGTGTGAAGAGGAAAAGGGGAGACATGAAGCCAGCAACGTAATCCTCAACGTACTTCATCTGCAGAGGCGGCACTTAAGGGCTAGTACAACGCACACGGTTTGGACAGAAAGGGCTTCACCTCAACACAAGAAGCTAGGGCTTCCAAAATACACACAAAACCCAAGCACAGATACTACTTAGGACTAGTCCCCAACTTGACTGAACTTTTCCTTCCTTTCAGTCAGTCATTAGGAAATTTAGAATCTAAACTTATGTTCTAAATTTAAGGTTTTTAAACGAGTGCAATGTTTATAAACTGACAATCATATGAAACTAAAAAAACCTTTACTTAAAAAAATGTGGTATCATTAGGGGCGCCTGGGTGGCTCAGTTGGTGAAGCCGAGTTTTGATTTCGACTTGGGTCATGATCTCAGGGGCGTGGGATCCAGCTGCGTGTGGGGCTCCCTGTGGAGCTCTGCGCTGGGTGTGGAGCCGGCCTGGGATTCTCTCTCCTCCCTCCCTCTGCCCCGCCCCACCTTAAAAAAATGTGATGTCATTTAATTCTCCCCATCTCACTCTCATCCAGCTTTCCTACCGTCAAAAACATTCATCTTGGAAAAAATAAAATACAATGAGCATGGCTACCTTATGGAGTACTGATTCATTTCTCTTTAACGCGGATTACAGAGAAGGAGAGAAATTTCTAGATGATCCCCGCAAAACACTAATGAGTACAGTAACATGTAGAAATAGGTAAGGGGTAGCTATGGCACAGGTGACCGTGTGCTGGATTCGATCTTTGGGCTCAAGCTGCGTAGCCTTTGGCAAATCAGCTAACCTCTCTGCCTATCAACTCCCTCACCTGTAGAAGGAAATGATACACCTTCCTCACTTGTGGGTTGTTAGCAGGAGCAAATGAGAAAATTCACACTGCAAACTGAAAAGTGCTATAAAGTAATTTATGTCCATATTAAAAACACACCTCTCAATTTACAGGATCTTTAACTGTGAAATTAAGTAAAGCTGCTGGGGTCATGATTTTGGCATCCTCGAGAGAGAGAGAACCCCCAACAACGAAGGTTCAAGTTTAAAGGTTTTCGACTCCGCTATCCCTCTTACAAGAATTAACATAGAGAAAATCCCAAGGCCCGTTTGTTGTAACTTCTTGGTGTGCTTCACTCTAGAGCAGGCGTGTGGATGGGAGCAGACTGCGGTGGAAGAATGAACCCCCCCCTCTGAAGACATGTTTGCCCAGTTCTGACTGTCCAACTTGTGTTGGACCCTTATGAGAATCACAGGCATTCTTGTTTTGCCAACCCTCTTTTAAAAAGGAAAAGTAAGGGTCACGATAAAGGGTGTACCCTGGAAGCAGGGTCAGAGCGCACGTCTTGAACTTTTGGTGGAAGGAGGGCATGCAGAAAGCAGCGCACGACACCGAGAACAGAGCCTGGGGTAGTGCGTGCGGGACTGGCAAGAGATGCAAGCTGGCCATAACCTACAAGAGCCAAAATCTACTGGAAGAGGCAAGAGAAATGTAATAAAAAGGGAATACCAATGGGAGGTAAAGAACGGAGAAGTATAAAAGGAAGATCGCCAGGCAAGGACTGCAGCCCCTTAAGTGCTTCTTTTAAACCTATGGTGATTCCGTCCAGAAGTACACCTCTTTGACTGTAAGCACACAACTGGAAGATAGAGTTTAATGAGTGTCATTTCAGTTTTGCAAGATGAAAAAGTTCTGGAGATTGGCTCCACAACAACGTGCATACGCTTGACTACTGAACTTCAAAATGCTGGGGTTTCTCTCTCTCCATCCCCTTCACCAATGTCGTCCATCCCACCTCCCCACCCCCCTGCCCTGGTAACCATCAGTCTGTTCTCTGTATTTATGAGTGTATTTCTGATGTTTGTTTACTTGTTGTTACAAAGTGAGTAAGTCACAGGGCTGTAGAGTCCAGCACAGGGAACTGAGTCGGCAATATTGTAATAGCCTTGTATGGTGACCCACGGTGACTACATTCACCATGGTGAGCACAGAGTAATGTAATTGTCCAATCACTATGCTGTACACCTGGAACTAATAAAATAGTGTGTGCCAACCTTACTTCAATAAAAAAAAGTGTGCAAAAAAAGGGGGGAAGGCTAAGATGGTAAATTTTTTATTATGTGTATTTTACCACAATGAAAAGTAAACAAAAACAAAACCGGGAGAATCTATCACTGTGGAGCTCAGATTCCCAGAAGCCGGCAGCTACCACCCTGGACAGGCAGCTCTGGCCTCTCCTTTCCCACAGCCCAGCCCCCACACCCGGCCCGCCTCCTCGTCGACCTGCCCGGAGCCCGGGCCACATCACCATCAACTGCTAAATGAACGGATGGCAGAGACTAACTAGAGGAGCTGCAAGGATGGGGAGACCAGATAAGAAACTGAACTGGTGCTTCTTCTTGAAAGAGAGAAGGAAGAGTGTTTATTAGGCTATGACTTCAACCTGACATTTCAGGAAACCCAGTTACTCTAAGCCGAATGCTTAGCAACACTAAGCCATCTTGGCTATTTTTAAAAGCACTGCATAATGCAACAGGTTTTGTAGTGGCTGGGTGGGAAATATAGCATGTGACTCTATGTAAACATATGTGCAGTGTATCTGGCAACCCATCGATTGTGCTAAGTAAATGCCTTAGAAAAAATAAAATTTGAATAGCAAAAAATAATGAAAATTTCAATGTTTTAAAAACTGTAAACAATCTAAGTCTCTATCAGCAGAAAGAGGGAAAAATAATTTACGGTATACTCATAGAATACTATTTGGCACTGAAAGTCGGTGATTTAGAATCGGGTGGGCAAACCATGGCCCATGGGTCAAATCCAACCTGCAGCTTGTTTTCACACACATCCTATGAGGTAAGAATGGTTTTTTGTATTTTAAACGTTGCTAAAAATAAACAAAACTAAACTAAAAACCCAAGAATAGGCGACAGAGATCATATAATGGCTCACAAAGCTTAAAATAATTACAACCTGGCCTTTTATAAAAAAAAAAAAAAAAGACTTGCCAAGCCCGATGAATCTCACAGACATAATGCCAAAAGAAAAAAGCAAGTCGCAGAAGAAAACATACATCGCTTACATAGAATTTGTAAACATGCAAAACAGTACCATATTCATCTACATATAGAGAAAGGATGAGGAACTGTATGCAAACAATACATAACATAACTCATCACAGTGGGTATGGGCGGGGGCGGACAGCCAATCAGGGACAGGCACACAGAAGGCTTGAACTTAAAGTGTGTTTGTCAAGTTTTACTTCTTTGTCAGATGGTGGGAGGCTGGGTGTTTGCTGTATTATTCTTAGTACCTCCCTGTATATTTAAAAGATAATAAATTTTAAAACACGCAGCAATACTTATTCCTTTTCAAACAACTGGTCAGTGCACTTCTCTCCTTTTCAGAGGAACGCTGCTATCAAAGCAGCTGCATCATACCAACAATTCCAGGGGTAAATGGATCAAATTTTATAAGCATGTTTATTCTGGAAAGGCAACTGGGTGGGAAAAGATGAGGGCTCGGCTGACCCGGCTGTGATTTCGACCTGACATTTCAGGAAGCCTGGTTACCCTGAACAGAGTGCTTATTAGCAACGCTATGCTTTCTTGGGTATTCTTAAAAAGCACTGAATACTGCAACAGGTTTTGTGGTGGTGGGAAAGACGCAACAGCAATTAGCGTTCCTGGATTTTATCACCAGCTATATAGTTTAATGATACACAGAACCTGCTGAGCGTTTTGTCAGTTAGAAGCAAGAGTTCAGCACATCAGGCCATTCTCAGGGAAAGCTGCCCTAAGTATGAGAAAGTCATTAGGAATGTAGCTCAAGTAGTTGTGGGAATCAAACCGATAAGCACAAGGAATTAAAACTGTTTCAAGAGCAACTTCAAGTGGGATGAATGTTTAGAAAAAATTAATCTAGCAGACAATGGTGGTAAATTCTGAAGGAAGTCTGGTTTCTCTGGAAATCCATTGGGAACACTTATGCAAATTTTAGTTGTCGTGAAAATATTAAACAAAAGCAAACTTTCAATAGCCCAGCCCGTTTCCATTTTCATGAAACAACTTTATTCATTTTGCCAATTTATGGCCTCACATCTCTGTCACCAGAATGAAAAACAACCATTATTGATTGGAGTCAAAAGGGTAATAAAGTCACAAGGAACATGCCAAAATACTCTGTCTGTGACATGAAAGTCTTGCCAACTCGTTTCTTCCCACAATCCCATCCCAAAGAAAGTCATCGCAATCTTAAAACAGTCAAGGGGAAAGTTGGAACATGACAGCAAGGGCATGAGAAATTCACACACACTGGGACCCACGGCTGGCACCTAACCCTCGCCAGCCCGTTTTCCCACTACACCAAGCTCTGCTCTTCTAGAAAGGCTGCAGAGAGAGGCCACAGCACCCCCACGTGCCAACAGGTAAAGTCTCTTTCTGAACATCCACATGGCTTCTCCCTGATCACTGGTGGGAAAGTAGCTTTTGTCACTAAGATCTCCCCCAAGGGCCCCATCTGTGTGTATCCAACAAAGGTCTGCATAACGCCTAGATGAATAATCCAGGTCTGTACAGATCATACGGTTTTAAGAATGTTTCTAACTTTGGTCACTGCTACCAATGTTGCAACTGCTTATCCCCACCCCTGCAACCTCCATCACAAAGCCCACGCCACTTGCACACCAGAAAGAGAGGAAAGGGAGAAAGGATTACATATTCAGAAGTCAGAAAAAGAGGCAAGCACTGAAAAATGCAGTTCTTACTCCGAAGTGCTTTTACCCAAAGGACAACAGTTTTTCTGAGGGCCAACTCAGGGTTAAATGAACTGCATTTAATTATTACCACTCTGTGGTCACTGTACCACGCTAGAAGGAACTGCTGAAATGAAAAAAGAAAGCTGGTCTGTTAATTTTGGTAAGAATTTTTAAAAGGACTCTGAAAAAGCTCTCATAAAAGCTCTAAGGAGTTTCACAACTGAGTGAGTTTTATCAGTTTTTCTTCTCCAGCTCCGACCAGCCCCGATGCAATGATAAACTAGGTAACTGGGCAGAAGTAGTTTCTCCAAAGGCACAAGGAGAGAAAGGACATCCTCTGCCTGTTGAGTCCCTGAATAACTGCAGAATTACGATGGCAATGAATTTCTGATCACACCTCAACACCGTATTGCTCATTTTTTATTTAGCACATCATGTGGTCAAAAAGCCATGTAATCCTAATGTAAGCAGTCTTTTGCCAAATTAAAATAATATTAATCATTAGTATCAAGTTACAAGATTGTGGTTTATACAGGAGAAAAGCAAATGCCCCAAAACAGAACTGAGACAACTAAAAAAAAAAAATAACAAAATACCAGTAGAAAGCACACTTCACCGTCTTTACACATACCGGTGTAAAATCAAACTGACATAGTTGCAAACAACATATCAATTTAACGTATAGGCAAGACCATCAGAATTACTTACTGATATGATTATCTGCTTCACAAGCTTAGTATCATCGATACAATCAAATGCCGCCAGTAAGACCAAATGGGAGTACTGGCCCTGTAAGAAATGGAAGCCAGGGAAGGTTAGAAAAATATACCGCTTCTCCCTTTTATTCCCCCCAATGGAGGCACTTTACAAAGGTTATCAACCTGACAACTGTCTACCATAACACAAACAAGACAGATAAAAGCCATTCAAAGGAACTTCCTCTCTTATCAGGACCTACTTAATTATATTCTAAGTTGATTTAAAAAAGACAAAGAAAAACAAAAGCACATTCTTCAATATCAAATAGCCGAGGCTCATTTTTTTTTTTTTTAACTGACCCGGATATAACACCTCTCAAAAACAGGTATCCTGTTAATAAATAACTACTTGAAAATTACACTAAAAAATTCAAGCGTAAGTGAAAAAAAAAAACCCCAACAATGTAAAACTATGTATATATGTATACATACAGAACTTTAATCATGAAAAAGAAAGCATATAAACTCAGATAGAATCACACATACAGTACAAAATATACATAGTATGTGTACTAAGGAAATCATGGAAGGAAAAACATTGTAATGTGATAGTCATCTCTGAGTTAAAGGATTATAAATGATTTTTCATTTTCTTTTGTATACTAATTTCTTCAAAATAATCCTATATAATCAGAACAGAAATACCGAAATAATAAACCAGAAGAATATACTTAGAACTGACTATGAGAATCAGATAAAAGTAACCGCTTTTAAAAAAAGTATAGCAGCACAAGATCAAAAAATATACATTGTGGGGGCGCCTGGGTGGCTCAGCTGGTTAAGCGACTGCCTTCGGCTCAGGTCACGATCCTGGAGTCCCGGGATCGAGTCCCGCATCGGGCTCCCTGCTCGGCAGGAGTCTGCTTCTCCCTCTGACCCTCCCCCATCTCATGCTCTCTCTCTCTCTCTCTCTCTCTCTCTCTCTCTCTCTCTCTCAAATAAATAAATAATAAAAAATTTTTAAAAATATATACATTGTGACTTTCACAATGGTCATCTCTTGAAATAACAGAATTACTTCTGTGATGCTGACATTTTTCTAAAGTTTAAGAACTTCTACTTTATGACAAAAGAGAAAAAAAGTGTTTTCAGAGCTTGTGGCATATTCTTTTTGTATCCTAGATAATGATAGCAATCTTTTACTTTGAGAAGGGTATCTGACTTCTGGTAACACTCATTCAGAGCCAGGTCTAAAGAACATGGCAGGTAATAATGTTTCAGTTAGAAACAAACTGGAGAAAAATAACAACAAAGGTCTAACATCTTTACCATATAAAGACCAACGCTCTACTAAAAATGGACAAAGAACAGGAAGAGTCGTCAGTTCACAGAAAAAAAGGGACAAGTGGCTTTAAGCATATGAAATAATACTGATTAAGGACAATAATTAAAGCAATGAAATACCATTTTCCACCTATCATCTAGGCAAAAGTGAAAACCTCTGCTAACATACTAATTTGGCAAAAGTCTGGGAAAAAGCAGGCGCACTTCTTTTGTCGTTGGTGAGAATGTACAGTGGCTCAACTTCTTCGAAGAGCAACTGACGACATTTATAAAAATTTAAAGTGCATGTATCTTCTGATCTAACAATTCCATTTCTAGGGCTTTATCTTACAGACGTGCTTTCACAAATGCACAAAGGAGTTCTTGAGTACTATTTGAAATAACAAAAAAACTAGAAACTACCCAAGTGCCCAACAGCAGGGACTGGCTTAAGTGAATTATGTAACTCATATAATAAAACATTATCTAGTCATCAAAAAGAATGAGGTAGATAAGATGTATGTATCCTGAAATAAAATGACCCCCGAGGTGGACTGAGTGAAGGACACGAAGCAGAGAACAATGTGCATCGAGTGCAGGACCACTGCCCTCTGACTCTTTTAAGTTCCACATGCAGAAACATGCCCAAACACAAAATATCTCCGGATGAATACAGGAGAACTGGAACTGAATTTAAGTGAGAAAAAGACAATTCCACAATTTCAGTTGGAGCTTTTAATACACTTTTCAGCAACAGATAGACCTAGCTAAGATACATCAGTAAAAACACTGATGGTATGAACAACACTATTAACTACCTTGATTTAATTGACATTTGCAGAGTACCACACACACCGATTCCACAAAATAAGTTCTTCTCAAGATACTGCGAAAGACCACATGTTGTGCCACAAAATTAGTCTTTAAAAATTTAAAAGGATCGAAATAATAGAGTATGTCAGGAATCCCCAATATTTGGAAATGTAAACACTTCTAAATAACCATAAATCAAATCCATGGGTATTATTAGTTTATCTCCCCTCTTTAGAGACAACTCCTTGAGATGCAAAAGGCACTGCACTGTTAATTTCTCATTACCATCATAATGCCCTGCTGGGATTAGGTTCTCAAAGACAAAAAAACCAAAAACAAAAACAAAACTGTTTATACAACTAAACTGTAAAATTAGAACAATCTAATTTTATTATTTAATGATATCTTCTACTAGTAATACTTTTCAGAATTTTCTATTAACATTCTATTTTTATTCATTTCTAATTTAAAATACTCAAATTAAAATGTTATACCGAAGATTTACTTAATGGTGAATAATGAATAATAAAATCTTGTCATACTCTGGAAACAACTCCCTAGAGAATCTCTTCTTTAATTTTGTTACAGACAAGTGAGCTGCCTTCCACATGGCCTTACATGCTCTCTCTAGTCTCCAGCCCTACAGAAGATGACAGGTACGTATATGGTCACCAAGCAGCAGCTTATCTGTGTTTGGAGTAGCACTGACTAAATCAAGTATTCACCAGATGTTAGCAGTTCTCATTGGATTTTTCGTAGGAAATAGTTATCACCAATTTTAGTTCCTCAGTAAATTAGAAGCTTAAACATATAAAGTAACCCAAAAATGAAAAAACGTTCACTACTACATACATTCCTGGAAAACTGTTTAGTATTTAAATACACAGAGATACTATTTTTTTGAGGCAATTAATTCCTTAGAAAAATCTTTTCGTATCCTCTATAATTTCATCTGGAGAGCTGTTACAGCATCTCCAAAGGATCCCAAAGAACTATAAAACTTACAAATTTATTCTAGGCAGTAATTTCCATGTTTAATAACATAATTGGACAAATTCACTGAAGAAGTAAATATCAGGACTTCAAAAAATATCTACTAGAAATGGAAAACTGTCACAGTCTGATGTTAAATGAAAAAAGGGGAAATCTTAGTGTAAATTTAATATCATTAAAATACAGGCATATGCGTAAAGACGGTAATAAAACAATGAACAATTTTCTTCTTGGCAATTTTCTGCAGTTTTCAAATTTTCTATAATAGACATGATTTCATTTTATTATTAAAATTAACTAAAAGAGGGACACCTGGGTGGCTCAGTCGTTAAGTGTCTGCCTTCGGCTCAGGTCATGATCCCAGGGTCCTGGGATCGAGCCCCGCATCGGGCTCCCTGCTCCGCGGGAAGCCTGCTTCTCCCTCTCCCACTCCCCCTGCTTGTGTTCCCTCTCTCGCTATCTTTCTCTCTGTCAAATAAATAAATAAAAATCTTAAAAAAAAAAAAAACTAGAAGAAAAGCCAAAATCAAACAAAAACATAACAAACTGTGGTTTTATTATACTTACATTCGCCACCTTTTCAATGTAAGTCTTCATTGTTTTCACAATCACTTTCCTGTCCTTTAAAAAGGAAAATTAACTTTTGTTATAACTTTTAGTGACAGCTTAATAATTATAGAGTCAAAAATTTTATAGAATACTAAAATTCCCACCAGTCTGGCATACTCTTCACTAGTGAAAACAGTTATGAGCCAGAACAAAAAAAAAAATGGCAATATGTTTTAAGTCGTTTCAGAACTATTACAACCTCAGAGCTGTTCATGACAACTCACTGAGACATAAAAAAGGAACCATAAATTAGCTGTAAGGCAAATCTAGCAAAACTACCTTCTTTTAAAACAGTGAGAATGGACAGAACTCTCTCAGTGTCTGAACTGACTTGAGATGCCTAAGAGTGCAGCAGAGACAGTATTTGATACTCGCCGAACGGAAATTAAATTTGTATTCATTTAAAAAGTGGGCAGAGTGCAACTCTTTTAAAGGCAACATTATACCGATCAAGGAAATGAGGAGCATCTCTGTGAAACTTTTGTATTGAACATGATCTTTACCTTTCCCCTCAAATGAACACCCACATGAGCAAAGGTGTAGCTGCTCATTAGCACCTTGCCTCTCCCGCCCCCATGAAGATCAGTAGATGAGGAATCAAAGAACCCGACAGGTACCCAAACTTCTATAAATGTAAGCCTGGCATAAACATTGCGTTTACTTGCTCGACTGGGTCCCTTCCCACATAAAGACAACTCAAGCTTTTTGTACATTAATGAAAACTCTAGCAAAGAAACCCCAGGCCCTAAGAAAATCCAGTTCCTGGGAGGCCCCAAGGAGGCACAGCTCTGCGAAGATAACGCTGTTCCTACACACCAGGGCAAAGCCCACAGGCAGGCGGGGGCAAGTCTGAGGGAAGGCGCCTCGGCCCCAAGGGACCGCTCACCTTGGGGGTGCCGTGCCACAGGCAGTGCATGGCCACTCTAGCGCCGTCATGCGTGTGCGCCAGGTAGATCACGGCTTCGCGGATGGCTTCGATCGTCTCCTGCGGAACAAATACCACCGCACTTTATTTTATTCTTTCTTCCTGCCTTCTTAAAATCTGTCCACTGAGGGGCAGTGATGCACGGACGATGAAGGAGAGTATAGGCAGTAAACAACTGAATTTTTCATTTTGTAGAGAAGCATGCAGAAACAACTTCCGTCTGAACGTTTTTTTTCCCCCATCAAGAGCAGCAAGTAGTGGTAGCAATTTCTATTAAGATAGCTGAGTCTTACCAATATCTGTTCAAAAAAGTGTATGTGTGTGTAGTATATTCCAAAAGATTTTTCAAGAAAAAGAGATCTAGGAAGTGGCTGTGGTTAAGAAGGGAGTTTTTAACAGTAAAACCAGATAAAATAAATAAAATCTTCTTCCATAAGAGAATCGTGTATATAATGAGCAGAGAACTAAACACTAATTTTGGCTGAAAAAGTTTCTTTTTCAGTTCATCACTGGATTACTTCTAGAAATCATTTTAATAATTCACCATAAAAACACTTAAATAACATTTCCCTAAAAGAAATTAGTCTATTAGACTAGATCCTCATTTATCAATGACCCCTTTAGTAAAAACCCAGTCAGTAATTTTTTACAAGGTAGTTTAGCTTATTTATAAACTTTCTTCCTCATTGTCAATGTACATAATTTCTTAATTATATCTGGGAGGTCTAGCCAATAGATGTAAATGAGTTCTGACAGCTAAAAGCTGCAGGGCCCCACTTTAGTCCGTTCCTGATTTAAAAATTTATATTAAATCAATAAAATAAACACAAAGTCTCTGACCACAAAAGAGAAAGATGGGTACCTATTTCCATCAGTAAGGAACAAGCGATTTTGTCCTTAACTATTGTTCAATCCTTTCCCAGGATGAGTCTCAAAAACACAGCTCTCAGCTTACCTATGTAAGCTTACAAACCTATTCAAAGCTACCCAGTTGGAGAGTGAAATGCCCCCAGGGCCAGGAAAGATTTGTCTCATTACTGTATATTCACACTAAGTTCCCAATGATTTTTGTGTTATTAATACACGCAACACTAAAAAAAAAATTTTCCATCACTGACTATATCCAAGTGCTCATATTTTCACTTCTCCAAATGTAGTCCTGCCTTAATATATCCAGACCAGTCAGAAACTGTGCTATGCAGAAAAGAGACAGAAATCCCCAAAAGCAGCTGCTATGTTCACTGGACCACAAGCTTAGGTAAACAGCTACTCTTGGAAAAGTCTTTTCTCTGTGTCAATTCTGAGAGGGTCAAAATTCCTATGAATGTTTAATCTGGCATACTTGTTAAAAAGAAGTTAGGGTCATTCTTATGAGTTATCTCTTACTATTGAAATGAGGACAAATGGGCAATGAGTTCAGTTTGATGAGGCAAGCAAGTTCAGGGGACTAAATGGTGAGTTCGCATTTGTATCCCCATCCCTGACTTGAAGGGCGGTACAAACTACCTTCACTCTCCGCTCCTTATCCTGCTAGCCTGTAAGGTCTGGTTTCCATGGTCCACTTAGTTTCACATAAGTGTCCTCCCCTGACCTTTTAACGTTGACTTTTTTTTTTTTTTTTATCAGCACAGGTGAATTTCGAACTACCTGAATGCTGAACATCTATTGGTGAGTTAATTTTCAGTATGGTCAGCTGGAGGATAGTGTCTGGTTTATAATCAAAATATAAAAATCCAGTAAGATTGATAAAACTATGGTCAATTCCACTGTCTTCTGGCAAATATCTAAATGGAATTAGTAGGCTTGTTCAAAGGACGTTTAGTGCCTCATCTTCTCTAAATAAGGAAATAGGGGCACCAGGGTGGCTCAGTCGGCCAAGTGTCTGACTCTCGATCTCAGCTCAGGTCATGAAATCGAGCCCCACATTGGGCTCCATGCTGGGCGTGGAGCTTGCTTAGGGTTCCCTCCCTCTGCCCCTCCCTCTCTTTCAAATAAATAAATAAGGAAACAACTCTTTAAAATTTCCAAAAGACAAGGTACATCAAAGCAGCATTTTACATTCTAACATGACTCTTCCTCTAATGTTTGGTTTAAAAACCAAAAGCAACAACTTACTGATCTTAGCTTTGGGGGTGCAGAGGTGAAAAAGTCCAAGAATACTTTGTGTACCAATGAGTGCTTAATCACAGCCTCCCTGAAAAGACAGAAAAGGGAAAAGAGACTATGCCAGATCTAGCACTACATACAGTAAGAGAGACAGAGGCAGCCTCAGCTGTCCTAAAATAATCAGAGCAAGTGAAATGGTCTTAGCAAATGTAACCTGTCATAAGAAAGAATAGATCTTTCAGCAATATAGTAAGAATTAAGAAAAAAAAAACTTCCAGACTACAAAAATCTTTTAGTAGTCTCTACAATCAAAACCAGAATACAAATTTTTAATATCTAGTCAGCCAAGATTTGTCATCATTCCAAATACACTCTACCATCTTCAGTAAGGACATCTATGCTTTTACCCAACAATGGACACGTGATTAGAAATCCGTATGTGCACTGATTTTTTTTTTATAGCTTATTTTCTTCCTGTCAGGCACCCTTCACAATGCTTAGCTTCGTAAAATGATTTTAGCACTATTAAAACATGAACAGAATGAAACAGCATCAGCAACTGCAACAACCCCTAACTGATCCAAGCTTCCCAGCATGATGCTTGTGGAATGCAGATGTACAGTGAAGGCTGATGATCGAGGCACCAAAGACGTCAGGCTGACACCGAGTACCTGAGTAGCCAGCAGACACAGGTTGCCTTTATGGGCAAAGCACTGTTTCTGAGTGTTTTGGAAACATTAACCCATTTAATCTTCATAAACCTCCATGAAACATGTACTACTATTATCCCAATCTTATAGATGTGGAAACTGAGGCATACAGAGGTTACATTGCCCAACAGCACATAGTAAGTGAGGGGGGCATCAGGACTCACACCTGGGCAGCTTGGGTCCCCATGGCCACGTCTTAACCACTCCGCTATGGTACAAATGCTAAGAAGGCCACATACCTGAGCATCTAAGCTTTACGATCCAATTTAAATAACACAATCTATTTGGGAAACTATCTACCTTTTCTATGCAAGGGTTATGTAACATTTTCTTCTTTCAAATGCTAAGAAAAGACAAAAACAGCTTTCTTACTTTTGGGCCATTGGAGTCAGAATCTGCTTCATCTCATCCATGATAAGCTCTAGCTTTTCTGGATATGCCTCTAATACTTTGTCCAGGGTTGGGTGATCTGCTGACTGCAACGAGAAAACCAAACCCCTCTAAATTTAATCAAGTTTCTTCAACTTCAGAGCAAAGGAAATCAATTATAATTATTTCAAATAAACTTAATATAAATTTCAAATTTCCCATAGTTATATGATGAAGGCCCTGCTGTAGATACACTCATGGAGTAACCTGATTATCTGATTCTCACTCTATCTCACCCATCAATGTATTTAAAGGGCCAGCCCGAACAACCCCAACTCAACCAGTCGACAGGTGCACATGCCTAATCAAGATCAAGTAGTCAGCTCACAAATTCTTGCCACCATGCGCTTTGTAATTAGGTGGATATTCCTACTGTGACAGTTACAAAAGCAATAAAGCACTCAGTTCAACCCAGGGGCTGAACCTGACCAGGGGAAGCAAGCCAGGAAATAACCCATAGCCCTGAAGACAGATGTGTGCGTTTACGCCCCTTTAACTGTCCTAGCCCCTTCCTGGCCTTTTTCTGATTCAATCCCTGTACTATATCCAAGACTGGTTCTCTCTACTCCCTCTCCTCCCTGGACACAACCTAGAGAAGGATGGTTCACACCATGGAGACACACAGAAGGCAGCAATGGGGAGCCCGAGGCACTTCAGCCAGAGCTGGTTAGGGGGCGGGTACAAAGCTTTACTAACTATTAAGAGTCGTCTACCTCAGTCTATCAGAAACGGATGTCCTGAAGCATTGCACAGAGCACTCAGGAGGGAGTATAACAATGTAGTTTAATTTAAAGGGGATTTAGAGACAGTGCTCTGGGAGTAAGAGAAATCAAAGTCTGATCACTTGCTCATCACGCCAGAGACAAAATAATCTAAGAGGATAAAGGGTAGGTGACAGTCTCTTAATGGGCCAGCCAAAGCAAAACTATTTTCTGCGAACAGGGCACTGGGAAGTCAGGAACAGCACACAGAGAAAATAAAAATGCTCGCACAATGTCCTGGGATGTCACCTTGTAAAGCTGAAATGTGTTCCCGTAGAGCTCCTCCGTCAGCATGTTCCTCTGCTCCAGGATGGCTTTGTCATTGTACGCGTACTCCACGATGGCCGACGCTTCTGCGTGCCGTAGCATCTTCTTCACGTGGCCTTTAAAACTTCCTATTATCTCTGCAATCTGTGGCTTACTCCTAAACCCAATGCGACGGTGGGAAAAGATCAGTAACAAGGAGAAGAAAGCCGGGCGGCAACAAAATGTTAACTTCCCCTGAAGCCCACCCATCAAAATGTGGGGCGGTGGGCCAAGAAACACTGTGAGAAGGCCAGCCGAGATGAGTGGTCTTTCCACCTCCAGCTTGCCAGCCTCCGCGGCAGCCAGCCTGCTACCAACGTCTGAGACCTGACTCTGCCTAGCAGCTGAGAGATCCTGAGCAAGCTACTGGGATTCTCTGCGATGCAGCTTCTTCGGTCACAGAACAGGGGAATGCGGCTGAGGTGAGGACCGAGTGACCTCAGAGGCACGGGGAGCTGTGACCCGCGCCCCTTCCCCATATTAAACTCTTTGGCAGGAGAAAGTAAAAGTTGAAGACGCGGGGAAACACAAATACAACACATCTAGGATTCTCCATTCAAACAGCACGCAGTCACCAGTATTGACGTTACATCCTCACATAATCAAGCAGCTGACGATTACAGCCAGAAATCCTTGCAAATTTTGTCAACCGAACTTTTCTACTGTCTGTCGGTGAGCACGTTTTGGCACCTTCCGCTCAAAAAAGGAAGTCAGGACAAGTAGCAATTCCAGCTAATTTAGGAAATTTTCCTATCCTGACATTTCCTAACCCACCGACCCCGCTGACTCCCCTCACCTTCCCCCTCCCGGCCGTCCACCCTCTAAATACTGGTCATCTCTTCTTCCAGGGCATCAAAATACACTCACAAAGCTGGTGAAGGTAAGGCCGTCATTTACATTACCTCAATAACTGCTTTTAAGATCATGTGCCCCAGAAACATTACTAGCATCTGCCTAGGGCCATTATTATGATCCCAGACCAAGGGCACAACTGGTATCCCCAACTTTAAAAAGCTAATGACAATATATTTTATAAATAAAACAACTCACCCATACATGAGGAATTTCTTCACAATATTTCTGGAATATTTAGCTTTACTTAATTGGACCAAATCATCTGAAAAGCAAAATACATAACAATGATTTGCTAATCTCATTTCAGTCCTCCAGAAGCAAAGAACTACGTAAATGCACAATCCTGGGAACACAGAAAACTCTCTTAACTTGTCCCACACAAAGAAAAAACAAAACAAAAAAGGTCCTGCAGAGAACACACAGCTTTCCCTCAGCAAGAATTACCAGGGCAGTTTTGGGTACTTCGAGAAAAAAACAGTGACTTATTACAAATAATCTTCCACATAAGAAATACCTCGCAGTTCTTCAAAAGCCTGTTTTCGCTGCTCTTCGTTACCATACTGAATGTAACACTGGATCACACGAGTGGAATCATGGGCAAATGCGATCTGTAGGAAAGACCAGTTTGGGCCTTTAGACTAATTCTCTTTGACGGTGTATGTTTCTATCACAGCATTAATGTTTTACTGCTGCTGCTTTCAGAATTCCTTGCTAGAAAAAAGGTAGAGTCTTCATGGATAAAATCAAACCTAGGTTGCTCAGGAGAAGAAATACTTGAACTGTACAAAAAGGTATTCTTTGGTTTTGCGACACAGAGAAAGGGATAGATTTAACCATTTTCACAATTCCTATCATCATAATTAAAAACAAACCATATCAAACCAAACCTGTCTAATGATTATACACACTGTATTTCTCATTTCGCTGAAAGTTACTTTCCCTAATGGAAATTTTCCAATTCAAAAATTTTATTACCCTGATTTTCTTTTCTTTTTTTTTTTTGCTTACGTAAGCAATCTAGGAATGTTTGGCCTTGGCAACCAAAGATATAGATAGAAGACAGATCCAGGGTGCCTGGGTGGCTCAGTTGGTTAAGCGACTGCCTTTGGCTCAGGTCATGATCCTGGAGTCCCGGGATCGAGTCCCGCATTGGGCTCCCTGCTCAGCGGGCAGTTTGCTTCTCCCTCTGACCCTCTTCCCTCTCGTGCTCTCTCTCTCTCTCTCAAATAAATAAATAAAATCTTAAAAAAAAAAAAGAAGACAGATCTAAAAGTCTTGCTACATGAGTAAATATTTCTATATACACATTGGCAATTATAAGCTAATCCCTCCGTTTCTCACATTTTCACTATAATCCCTGAATATGTATGTTTCATTCCTAGAAAAGTTGCTGTATTTCAAAATTCCACCCCTACCCCAACTACTGGATAAATCAGATCCTCGTTGCAGGACTTGCTGATCACTTTTCTACAGCAATAACCACAAATAGTCAAGCAAAATTATTTTTTTACATTACCAGTCTACTTTAATAGTGCTTATTATTTGTTGCTCATCCTGTCTCTAAAAATTTTAATTCCAACAAGTCAGAAGATGAAGGTGGACCTCCATCAAAGTCATGCATTTCAGAAGAATTTCCTTAAGGGAGGTTTGTAGAGATATTTTTGATAAAACTAAAAACAAATTTTTTTAACAAGAAGGCTGTTTTGTGCATACTGATTACTTACTATATAACCAGGATTGATGCTTCAAGTACATTTTCTTCATTTAGACCTCAAAGCAACCTTAAAAGTGTGCTGTTGCTATGCCCATTTTGCAGAGGAGAAAAGCAAGTTTATGAGAAGTTGAGGAACATTCTATGCCTGTGACCCTGGGGACAAAACTTAATTTTTCTGAGTCCCAGATGTATCAAACGTCCATCAGGGACGAAGACATTAAGTTAAAGGAGACAAAGTATGCAATGGTTAGCACAACCCCTAGCACACAGTTATTGATGCAGAGGTTGTTACTGTCCAAAGGCAGACATATTCTAAGCAGCAGAATGAGGATCTGAACATCACATTAACACCAAAGGCCATGCAGTATTAACCAGGGTAGTTGGGAAAGGATGTTGAGTGTAAAATATTTACAAATCAAGGATAACAGATTACTGCTGGAGCTGAGGAGAAGTTCTAGCCTAAAAAAACCTTTCTTCCCAGGTAAAGAAGAAAGCAGTTGCTGGGAACTTGCTTATTTAAAGACATTCCTTCAAACTGGAAAATAGCATCTGATTAGACCTATGTATGGTTTGGCAAAGACTACCCCTCTAGGGTCCCCAAAACTACTAAGTCTGTTATCTTACAAATGAATAGTCACTAAGTATTTATCCAAATACACAAGTTGTCAACAGAGGTTTATTATAAAATACAATTAAGCAGCAACAATGAAAATTAGTTTAGAACTCCCAAATCTGTATTTTAAAGATCTCTGTATGATGCTTGTAAAAGCAATGAAGAAATCAAAGTAATCATCTGTTTACATATATTCAAAAAGTCATCAATTTAGAACATATGAAAGCATATGGAGTTCAGAGCAAGACATTCTGACAAATACTATCGAACTAATAAGTTCCTCAAGGCAACTTTAAAGAACACTGATTTACTTTAAGTAAATTTTGGGTAAATGACACAGCCAAATACTTGATATTTTAATAATTTCCCAGCAGTAAGGTCCCCGCTATTAAATTTTTTATTTAGTCAGTATTATAAAAGGTACTTGAAATTTGTGGCCAAATACATTTAAAACAATTTCACAGATCACGGATGGTCACCTAGCCTTTCCTAAGAGTGAGCTGATTTCAATTGTTAATACATGCAACTATGATCCTGCCCTACTTACAGTTTTAATTTTTCCTTGAATCAACTTCTGCAAATCACTCATCAATTTCACTCTCTTTTCTTTGTCACAGTCTTTTCTATAAATGAGAATAAAGGGGGAAACACAGCTTAAGTAAAGACATTATTTTAAACAGCAGAAACTAAATACCCTACCAGTGTACGTTCACCCAGTTAGGTGTGATTTTTCTCTTCAGAGGCAGCAAACCTCTGACATTAAAATTACTATTCCAGAGCAGCCGGAGAAAAGTAATTTTCTCAAAGACAAGAACTCATCTCACAAGGTGTAATTTTTTGCATCAATTTGAATCTTCACAGCCAGAACCTCGGAAGTAAAGAAAATAATAAAACATGTCCAAGATACCAAATACTTAAGTATCTCAAAAGCGAGCCGATAAGAAATTGTCTTTCATTTTCTCAGAACTCAGGAAGGATTTCCAATCCATTTTAATTCTCATACATTTTCATAAACATATCTCATGATTCCACACACTTCTGCCATGGGCAGACGTCCAATACCGATGCGTCTAGCGGTGTACTGAGTGTTCCCTGAATAACCCCAGGGTGGTGCAGGTTAGTGTAGGACAGCTCACTATTTAGGAGGTACACTGGTGCTCCTCCATCCTCTCAGAGGACTAATAATGATGCCACTAGGTAGCAATACCTTCGTAAGATCTCCCAAATCTGCTTCGCCCGAACAACAATGTCGTAGTTGGTTTTGTCACTTAGTTGCCTGCTTTGCTTTAGTTCTTTTTTCTTCTTTTTGAAGTCATCCCATTTAGGTTTCTTGGCTGCTGATTCTAGTCATTAGAGAAATTATTTTAGTCACTGTAGAAATAAATTACATTTAACATTCTGAACGTCACACACCAGTACAAATTAGGTACACAGGGCAACGCTAATCAGGATCAATATTCACTGTAAAAATATCATTCCCTATAAACTTAGACTTAATTTCATTTTCTGAGCAGTTTATACATTTTAAGTTTGGTTGAAAACAACCACTCATTCATTCATTCAACAGCTACATATTGACTCTTAACAGGACACCTATTAAGAAAAAAAAATCAAGAGGATTGTAAAAGCAACTGAAAACTGAAATAAAAATTCTACTCTAAAACATCACAGTCCTTGGACTTTAGGTATAATCAGTTCTTACTGTAAACAAAATCAGTTCTCAATGTAAACAAAAATTAGTCCAAACTAAAACAGGGAAAAATGTATTAAAATTTTCAGTATGTTGAGTGTTGTTATCTATCATTTAATTCTCACAACAATCCTATTAATATGCTCCTTCTCATATCGGGGAGACACAGGCACTAAGGAGTTCCTTCTGTTCCTTGTCCAAGGTCACACAAGTCCTCAGTGGTGGAACCAGGGCTGAAACCCAGAAACAACTCTGAAACTTCGTGCTCTGCTGCCTCTTACTCACGACAGCGCCCAGTCAAAATTTCTCAGCTTTCTACAGAGTAATGTTCTCTAAGTCCAGTATCTTTCTATTAGCATTTTTTTTTTTTTGTCTTCAAAAGCTAAGTATCCCACCAAATGAATCCAAAAACCCATTGAGGCCAACAAAGAACAACTTAATAAAATGGATATTATTTGAGTGTCCTGCAAGGAGCCCTTTGGAGAATTAGTGCCTTCTAAATGTCTCCCCCTCTCTGATTAGAAAATACACGCATTATAAAAAACTTGGAAAATGCAAAAAACAAAATTTCCCTATCATCTCAAAACCCACATATAACTAGTAACATTTTATTTTCTTCCTGCCATTTCCCTATGTATGTTTTATATTAATCTTTAAAAATTCAGAATCTCACTGCTTCGCTTAAACATTATTCTACTATAAGTATTCTTCCACAAAACTAAATTATTTCTCAAGAACGTAATTTTTAACGGCTATACACTTTACTGCAATGTACTTAACTATTCCCGTTACTTATCTGTTCCCCGGTGGTAATCACAGACTGCAGGAAACAGAGGGCCTATTTCCTGTTTGTATCAGGGCTTCATGCACTGCACAGCAGAAGAGAAAGGCTGACCCAGAGCTCATTTAATTCCACAAACTTCTGGGCACCCTGACATCTGCCATGCTCGGCTGCAGTATATATAACAACTTTGGGGATCTCTAGTATCCAATTCCCCTCAGCTGCTGATATAAAAATTTGAGACAATAAAATCAGAGCTCCACTCTGACATGTCAGGAACCTAGCTCCCACAGAAAAGGAACCAAAGCTACATCACGACGGGTCTTAATGTGGGAACCATGTGTGTTTAAAATGCAATGCCAAGAACTCTAGCTGAGTTGGGGCCTGTGCCCCTACTGGTTGTTACAATTTTTCTTTGCCATTTCCTGGCAAAGTGCACAGAAAACTCAGATATTTGTTTGCTGAATCATTCAATCAATCAGTAAAGTTTGGCCTACAGAAAGGGATGTTTTTTTGGGGTTCTACTATATGAAGCTGCTCCAGCTTAGCTGAACTCCACAGCTCAGATAATTCAGCAAGGGCCTCGGTAGTAAGGTACCCTAAGCACCAGGAGACAATTTTGAGCAGGCAAGTTGCTTCCTGGTGCTTACCTGATTCGGGTTACCCTCCTCCCACCCCAAATGCTGCCTGTCAAGGAACAGGAACGGGAGGTCTCCACCAGACTTCTAGAGCTCCACTCTCCCTCCTGCATAGTTCAGGCGGAGCAAGGCTTCTGCAAAGACTATGCTGAAGGAATCAGTGCTTACCATCACTTTTACCATCCGCCTGGAATTTTCTCTTCCTGTTGAATTTATTTGCCTGCTGGAATTTGTTCTTTGGTATTTTATCCCCTTGCTGCTTATTTTTGAACTGCTTTACACCTTTTTTCCCAGGTTTTGTGGCACATTTCTCAAAGTTCTTAGATGTGATTTTAGGTCCACCTTCCTTGCCAACTTTCCTTGGAAACGTCTTTGACGAACCAGAATCTAGGGACAATAGTAAATAATTATCAGAGTTCAGTGATCCTCAGCCTAGATTTCTGTTATCCATTGGGCTGTATTTGTTACACAAAATTACACACTCTTTGGTGAAACGTTCTTTGTCCTACTCTCAAATATGGAGAACGGCATTTTAAAAGATCAAAACAAAATTTAAAAATTTTCTGATCTAGGGGCACCTCGGTGGCTCAGTTGGTTGAGCGTCTGACTCGTGATTATGGCTCGGGTCACGATCCCGGGGTCATGAGATCGAGCCCTGGGTCCAGCTCCACGCTGGGCGTGGAGCCTGCTTAAGATTCTCTCCCTCTTCCTCCGTCCCCCTCCTCCTCGCCTCACTGCTTGCACCTGGGCGTTCTCTTTCTCTCTCTCAAATAAATTTCTGATTTATAAAATTATAATACAGATTCACTATAGAAAATTGACAAACTAGAGAAATGCATAATAAAAACTATCTGTAATGCTACGGATAACCATTGTTGTCAGTCAGGTGTGTTTCTGTTTTAAGCATGTTAACATTACTTAATAAGATAAAATATTATTTGTATTATCTTGTATTCTACTTTAATGACTTCTTGTCATTCAAGTCTTCATACATAATTTTCAATGATTCAATAACAATGAATCTAAAAATAAAATGAATGCCTAAAACTTAGAAATGCAGTATTAGATCACATATCAAATTAAAATTAAAGATGTTAATTTATTTTAAAAAATTTTAAGGATGTCATTATTATTTTAATAAATATCATATCAAATTAAAGACATTAATTTTTCAGAACTGCCAGTTTTGGAAAAATTTCCTCAAAGCCTATAGTACAGTTATTTGATAAAAATCGTTAGCTAGCTAAGCTTGCAAATGAAGTAGCTAACAAATGAGATGAAAACTGCAACAGCTAAGCCCTAAGATTGTTGCAAGAAAATAAACAAAGATGCCTTAAGAATCATTTAGGCATTTACAGAGTCCCCTGACTTTTCTGCCCCGCAACAGTGACACCTGATGGAATAATAAAGACTCCACAATTAGAAACACTGAGGATGAAAGTATTTGGTTTACCAGTAGTATGCATTCATCAGGCACAATTTACTGAACATGAACATAAAATGTTGCAGCAAACGAATAAATAAAGAAAAGGCATTCCCAGCTAAGACTGGGGATCTCCCGTGAGTATAGCATTCTCTGATTATCCTGGCAATTTCTTAAATGTCTTAGTTTCGTGGGGAACACGCAAACTCAGACACGGTAACTCCTGCTTTTTCCTAATCCTAACCCATGAAAACAGACTCTGTTCTGGCTCCTCATCCCACCAACCCCCTCTCCAACTATAGGGGCCACCACCTATGGGAAGCATGGTTTGGTATGGTTCTCTTACCATTGCTTTTATGAAATCTGTTTTTTTCTTGTGACGTCTTTGCACCTTTTCCTGTGATTTTTTTTTTCCCTTTAACTTCCATCATAGCAGTTCTGGAAGACAAAAACAAAACCCCAAAAGGATCACTGGGTTGCTCTCAACCAGTAGGTGGCATCCACCAGTGCCACACTTGTCCTGGGGCTTCACAGATGCAAGACAAAACCACCTGGGTCCACCGTGGGCCCAAGCATCCAGGAACTACGCAATCAGCGCTTCTAAGATTTTAAAAATGAAAATGAACAAGATACCAACACAAAAACTAAGAACACACACAGCTTGGCTAGTGTGTGATGTATTTGGGGACAACAATTCAACAATAGTTCTGGGTAAAGACAGACCATTATTTACGTTAACTATGATACAAGTGTCAGTGTTTGTTTCTTATAACCTAGGATGACTTTGTGATGAGAGACTGACCATATCATCATTTGATTTCTTGGTTTCCATCCTAAAAAGTCCAAAACAAACAATAGGCTGCGCTTATATATATTCAAGTTAATGAAAGAAAATCAAAGATTGCCTACAAATTCTCTATGTATTCCAGTGTAGCTAAAACAAAAACTTCCAATGTTTATTTTGTTATTTTTTTTTTTAGAGGTGACCAGTCACTTTCAGTGACCTCTAAAGTAAGATTATGTTGGAATATTTAATATTTCATTTAGAGGAAATCTAACAGGTCACTTCTGGGTACAGAGACCTCACCATGCACAGGGCATACAACAGATAACCCCTTAATTACCCAAGGCTCCTGAAAGCAGAGAGTGTACCAAGAAAAATGCCATCTGGTGATTTCTCTACCTTCCAAAGCTGTACATTCAACTCATTTCTAAAGTTCTAAAGTTGATCCCCTAGAGCAGACCTGAGAAGTTCCTACACAATACTGGGTATTTCTAAAACAAGAATTTTCCAAGATTTTCCAAGAATTGGAAATTTTCCAAGAACAACCAATTTTGCAAGATTATTAGTGGGTTTAAGGAAAAAAGAAGGGTTCAAAGATGGCATGGATTTGAGAAATAGTGAACTGAATGAAAATAACTAGTTTTTTTTAAGAAAAGTTTTCAGATTCTTCTCATTTGCTAATTGATCACTAAGCACAGGCTAAAGTGTGTAAAGTATGTAAGATTTGCATACTTACTCACTTTTTCTTGAAACATCTCAAGGGACCAGTAAGGTTCCAAAGAACTCTCTGGAAAGTGCAGCTTAGTTTAGGCTTTACCATTGTAATTCTTAACCCTGGACGGCCCCTGAATTACTCCCTTTCCTTAAGTCATTGGTTGCTAACTGTAGGGTCATTTTATCACTTGGCTGCTTTATATAACCACACCAGCATTTCTTAGTTCTTCTGTGCTTGTATTCGTCTAAAAATGCAGTCATTTACAGATTTTCTCTGTACATTAGTTTTAACTGTTTATTTTGAAATAATTTTAGTTTTACAGAAGAGTTTGGAAAGATAAACAGAAAGCTCCAGTACACTTCTCAGTCAGCTTCCTGTAGAGTTAAAATCCCACGCCAACAGATAACATTAGTACGATACTATGATACTATTAACTTTGGATTTTGCCAGTACTTTTTCTGTTCCAGGATACACTGTGTTTAGCCATCAAGTGACAGTTTCTTGGTCTTCTTTCTCACGACCGAGACACTCTTGAATAGTACTGGTCAGGCACTTGGCAGAAAACTCATTTAGGGTTTGCCTGAGATTTTTCTCATGATTAGATGGGTGTGACGGATATTTTTGAAAAGTATCACAAAGGTGAAGTGCCCATACTGGTGCTATCAACCTTGATCTCTTGGTTAAGGTAATGTTTGCCAGATTTTTCCACCATGAAGTTACCATTTGTCCCCACTTCCTAGAGGGAGGAGTCCTAAGAATTTTATTAAAAATCTGTATGCTAAAATCACCACAGCAACTAATAAATATTTGGGGTGATACATTTTGAGATTATGCAAATATCCTAATTGTCTCCCTCTGATTTTAGTGTTCTCCAGTGGATCCCACCTGCAGCAATTACTGTGGTGTTTTCATGGTGATTTTCTATTTCTCGCATCAGGTCTACCTCTACTATTTTTAATTCTTCTGTAGGGAAAGTTTGTCCCTTCTTCTCTATTTATTTATTCAATCACTTATTTACATCAGTATGGTCTCACACATATTTTGCTACTTGGGGTAGAACCTAATCCTATACTGACTTTGTTGCTCAAACTGTTCCAGCTTTGGCCAGTGGTGAAGTCTTCCAGGTCGCTTCCGCGTCTGGTGACAAGACCCCATCCTGTTTTCCATGTCCTTACTTCCTAGCACTTGTTCCAAGTTCATCTTCTATTTTCCCTGACCAGGCCTGAAATCAGCCATTTCTCCGGGGAACCCTGGTTCCCTTTATTGAAAATGGTAAGATCTGAGTGCTAAGTATGCTTGTTGTCACTGCTTCTAGGTCTTTCCACCAGAAAGGGCTGGTAATACACATCCGTATACTAACCTATGTGGACACAGGAGCCTGTATTTCTCTCTCTTTGAAATAAGTGCATCCTAATGTCTCCAACTCTAATTCACTCTAGTTTTCCCTCTTACTTTACTTGTAACTTTTTTCTCTTGACGGTGAGAAACTTGCCTCCCAGTATCCACCACTGATTTGTTAGTACACAGGTAGCTTCAGAATGCTAAACTGGATGGCTATGGGAAACAAACTTACCAACTATAGTACAGTTTATTTACAGCTTTTTTTCTTTTCCCTCACAGTATTAATTCAGAATACTGTTTTCCAAAATTACTTAGGTCAATTCCCCCCACCACCCTGTTGAGTGAAGTTATTTTATACGTTTGGACAAGTTAGATTTATTTTTCGCAGTCCGCATTCCATTTCCAGACATGCTGGCTGACTTTTTTTTCATCTGCAGTCAAGTTCACTCTTTGGTGTACAGTGTTGATTCTGACAGATGCAGTCACGTCCCCTCCACCACAGTACCTTAGAGAATGGTTTCCTAACACCAAAAAGTCCCCAGTGGAGTCTTTTGCAATTACCCCCTCCTGGCTCTCTTGGCAATCACTGATCTGTTTTCCATCCCTCTAGTTTTGCCTCTTTTCAAACATGTCATATAAATGAAATCAAACTACATATGGCCTGTTGGGTCTTGCTTCTTTCACTTAACAAAATGTACCTGCCTGGGAACCCTGCACCATCATATACGACCATCACATTCCTGTGGCTCTCACAATTGTCTCCTCTTTTCCCTTTCTGTCTCTTCCTGATTCAGGCTGTATCTCTTACTCAGATTGTTTTTTGCTGAGGATCTAATCTGCTGTGACCACATGCTGCTGCCTGATTAATCTTCCACACAGTCACCAATTTTGTGCCATCTCCCTGCTCCAACACCTTCGAAAGTTTCCCACTGACTCCACGAAACATTTCAAACTCACACTGGCATTCAAAGCCTTTCAAAGTTTAGTCCTAACATACCGTAATCACAAACAACACACAGAAGCCAAACTTCCTCATTGTTCTTTTTCAGGATCCAAACTTAAAAGCCATTCTATTAATATTAATCCTACCCATTCTTCAAATCCAGCTTAAATGACAATTTCTTATTATTTCTCCTCTACATGCCTCCTTTCTTTCCCAAATGGTTCTCCTTAATCTTTTTTGGAACACTCTGATGGCCTTCTTATAACTTCACACCATGGACCTGAAATATATTGCATTCAAACACACTATGTGCTAGAAAGCTATTAGGTTGAAAAAAATATATGAAAAAGAAATTCAAAGCGGTGGAATAGAAGCAAGCAAAATTAAAAGACAACATACTTCAGTGTTATAACTGAATTATATATAAAGTGTTCAAAACCATAGCTGAGAGCCCAATTTTGCCTTGTGGAACGAAACAGCAAAGATGTCCCAGACGCAGGACAGGTGACTGATCCCACCCTCTCAGCAGGCTTAGCACTGCACTTTGAAAGAGATAAACATTCAAGGCCTAACCTTTAAATAGTGGCATTTCTCAAGCCTTCCCCTCTCTGCCCACATTTCTCCCTAAGTGATCTCATGCAATCCGACAGCATTCCATGCTGAGGACTCGCAAATTGTTTCCCATTAGGAACTTCCCGTTGGGTTCCAGACATGTGTCTCTAACTGCCTACCTGACACCTCCCTTTACGCGTCTCACAGGCACTTTACCCTTAGTAAGTCCAAAGTGAAATCCTTTAAATAACATCCTCATCTATTACTCCCCAACCTATTCTTCCCCTCTCGGCCAGCGGCAGGCACATCATCCACTCCACTGCTCAGGGAGAAACCCAAGATTTACCCCTGACGTTTTCCTCTCCCTCGTCTGCTATGTCCAATCCTTCCATTAGTTCCTTTGAATCCCCTTTAAAAATACCTCTAACTCTCCAACTTGCATCTCCACCACCACCACCCTAATCCCAACCATCAACACTTTCCAACTGTACACCCAGTAATAATCGAAATTATATACAATTCCTAAGAGTACCTGTGTCTGTCTTGTCCCTTCCTCACTTAATAAGTCTCCAAGGTTTCCTACAAATGAGAATAGAAACGGAAATCTTTTCCCATTGTATAGAAATAAAATCTCAACCACTCATCACGGCCTTGAAGTCCTACGGAACTGCCCTACCCCCCTACCTGCACCTTGTATCGCGGCTCCTAGCTCACATTGGTCCGCTTTCTACAACTCCCACCGCAGGGACTTAGCCAAAGGTACTGCCTCGGCTGAAAGCAGTTTCCCTGGGCTTCGGGATTTCAGAGTTGCCTCTCATCCTGCTGCAGGGCTCAGCTTAAAGATCACTTCAGATTCCCCTATCCTCATCCCAGCCCCCCATTCGTTTCCTTCCCAGCGCCGATAACTTGCAACTGTACATTCAGGTTGTCAACTCGGCACCCAGCACGCACAGGGCGGAATGGATGTTTGCCAAACACACCACAGAAGAGCAAACTGCAAGCAGCACGGGCCGGGATTTTAAGAGAGTGAAGGTAGTTCAGGTGAACCCAGCACGGTCAGGGCAAAGCAGTAGCGAGAGGAGTCTCCAAGCTCCCGTCAACCCCCAAACTCCCAGAACAGAAAGGCCACAGAAGACGCTCCAGCAGGTGACAGGCGTCAGCACCTGTACTCTATCCGACCGCTCGGAGAGACCCTTCCCCTGCAGCGCCGGGGAGAGGGCGAGCTAACCCCCTCAGGGCGGCCGCCCAGCCAGCCGCACTTACCACACACGTGCGGTCCAGGGAGGCGTGGGGCCGAGGCCGGCGCGCGTCCACGCTCCGCCGGGCCGCTTCCGCTTCCTCGACTTGCTCCGCCCCAGGCCCGCCTTTTCCTTCTTCCGCGGCGGACCTGGGGTTAAAGGATAGGAATTAGCCCCGAAAACGGAAATAAGGCATTTCTATTGGTCCGCTTCTATGACCTCATCTATAGGCGCCACGAGCGGGTTTTGGCCCTTGAAAGGATCCGTCGGGCGACCGCGTATCACCGGCCCCTGGGAGTGACGTCATTAACCCTGTCGCTGCCGCGCTAGGGGAAAGAAGGCGGCAGCTCCTCACCCTGTGGTCGGTGGTTGAAGTGATGTCGGCTGGCGCCTGAGCTAATACCAAAATAATTGACTTTGTTAGAGTGCGTTCCTTTGTATCCTCTCTGGCAGTCTAGCGTGAAGGATAAAATCTCGGAAGTCGGTTTGAATTTTAATTCCGTTTTTTTTTTTTTTTTTAACCTCTTGCTAGCTGTGTGGCTTTGGGCAAAATGCTGTATTTCGCTCAGCGTTGGTTACCAGATCAGTAAAATAGAGATGGCTAAGCCATTCATAGAAAGCGCTTACCACAGCGAATGATCATGGTAGGCGCTCAGTGAATGTCATTTTTAATGTCTGCTCGTTTCTCCGGACTGCAGTTATCCCATTTTCCACCCCAGGAAATGAGACCGTAGTTAGGATATTATCCCCCCTTTACAGATGAAGAAACTAACACGACAAACTTTGTTATGATCCTTGTCACTGGATCTAAGGCCCACTGGGATAATACAGGATGATCTCATCTGAAGGCCCTTACTTAAGGACATCGGCAAAGATCTTTTCCCAAATAAAGTCACTTTCACAGGTTCTGGGGGTTGGGACACTAACATGTCTTTTGACCACATGGAAAGAGGATTTGGGACATGATCCCAAGTGTGTCAAGCAACAGATTCTGCTGTCTTGCTGACCACGCCATTTCTCGTCCCTTAAGGCACTAGCCTGGTAATTCACTAGACTGAAGCGGGGGCCATCATTACTTCTCAGGCAGCCATCCCTTTATTCAGCACATAGATGTTTACTAAGTACTTATTTTTTGCCCTAATAGTGTAAGTATGTTTGCATTTCAGCTCACTTAAGTCCCATAGGAACAGTTGAAGTAGGTCTTCTCCCTCTGGTTTAGGGAAACAAAGGGAAACACAGTAGAGTTGCTCAGGTGAGCCTGACTCCAAACTCAACGAGGCTGCCTCTGAACTGCTTTCCCTAATCCATTAGTTCTCCAGTAAATGCTCGAGAGCAGAGATACACCGTACCACACAATACCTGGAAGGAATACGTTTTTCTTTCTTTCTTTTCTTTTTCTTTCTTCCTTTCTTTTCTTCCTTCCTTCCTTCCTTTTTTTTTTTTTTTTTTAAGATTTTCTTTACTTGAGAGACAGAGCTAGCACAACAGGGGTAGGGGCAGAAGGAGAAGGAGGTATGTTTTTCTTTTTAAGGCCACAGATAGCAGCACCCCATATCCTCTCAGACATATCCATGTGAATATCTTAAACATATACATCAAAACCCTACTGTTCATTTGTTTTTTCACGAGGGAGAGAAAAAAAAATCACATACCTAAGTCCTAGATTATTATTAATAATGCTATTTATCAAGTCCTTTGTGCTGCCAAAAAATGAATTGACTTGGAAATGTTTTTGTTTGGAATGAGTTGAAAGTGTCTCCTGGTTTTGCAGAATAGCAATAAAAAAAAAAAAGCTTATCTTGTAATTTTGCAGTTAACCAAGTTAAGCCCATTAGTTCTTCAACTATCTAATGGTCTAAATGTCGAGCATTAGGAACATGTGTATTCCTAGAAGCATAAAATGCTCTTCCTAAATGATAGGGCACACAACTTAATCAGAGCACCTGGACTTCTATACGTCTAAGAGGTTCTTTAGCACTGTAATTAAGAGGATTGGCATTGGAATCAAATCTGGCTTAAAATCCAAGGTCTGTAGGACTATGGTTTCTGCATATATAAAATGGGAATAGTAGCACCTATCTTTTGGGGTTGCTGCATGGCTCAAAAATAATAACTGTAAAGATATTAACCAGTAGTAAATATTGAGTGATGTATAGCTTTACAGAGAAAGACACAGAGAGAGAACCAAGCTATATCCATTGGGAATGCTTTTGGCTGCAAGTAATGGAAATTTCAGCTATTAGTGGCTTAAGCAGTAATTCTTCACACAACAAAAATTCTAAAGTTAGTTGCCTAGTTCAATAACACAATGATATCATCGAATACCCAAGCTCTTTCACAGTTTCTGGGCTCCACCATCCTCAGTGTGTTGACTTTTAATGTTCACACTTTTTGCTTTTATTTATTTTCTTTTCCTCCCCCTCTGTACCTGTTGATCACCCTTACCTATCCCCCTATGTCCCCCCATGGCCCCCTCACCCTGGCAACCACCAATCTGTTCTTTCTTGGAGTTTCGATTTTTTAGATTCCATATATAAGTGAAAGCATACAGTATTTGTTTATCTCTGACTTATTTTACTGTTGCTTTCTGAGGCCAGATGTACTCAGTTACAGGATTTATATCAGAGTTTAGGACTAGGAGAATGGGGAAAGGGGTGAAATTCACTTTTCCACCCAATAGGACTCAGTCCTTTTATTCCAAAAGGAAAAGACCCAGCAGGATTTACCTTCTATTTCAGTGCCTGGAACTGGGTTACATGGCCACCTTCAGGATCAGAAGGCCATAAAATATAATGTTAATAATGGCACTTGGATTTAATTATTTTTCCAGTACTCTAGTAAAATTAAAGGTCACTTGGCAAATATGCCTCCATTCCACAGTAGGGATTTAATCTGCAATTTAAACTAATCTGGTTTAAAACTTAAAATAACTGTAGTAGTCAAGGTGGCCTATCTCAATCTTGGCCACACATCAGAATCACCTGTAGAGTAAAAAAACAAAACAAAACAGTAATGCTGATTTAATTAGTCTGAAGTGGGACCTGGGCTTTGAGGATTTGGAAAGTTCCCCATGCTACCATGTAGCTAAAATTAAGAGCCACTTGTTTAAAGAATGGCTTTCTAGTTGTTGACTTGATTTTCTAGTTAACGGAGGATTAAGCCCTATAACCCTCTGGTCCCTCTTTTTGTGCCACCAAAATTAAAGAATTAAATGTATAATACACTTGTTTCCGTAGGTAGAATGTCTTGGACATAACTATCTTTCTTGCTGCTTGAGGTTTCCACTAGTTATTTAATATTACAATATATTGAAAATGGTTTAAATTTGAAATATATACTTTCAAATGTATTCTGGAAAATGTTTGCTTTTTTTTTAATTCCTCATGATTTTGTGCAATTTTTCTCTTTTTCATAAAAATAAAGTGTTAGGTGTTAGCTCCCACACATCTCCCCTTTCCTAAAATCAGTTCTTTAGAGTTCTAATTAATGGATTTTTAGCTAATTGGGTTGTTTCTCTGTTTCCCAAATGCATAGGCAGGGATAAAGGGCATGTTATTGATATAAACCATAAGTGAGATTTTGGCAAAGATCGAGTTTTATTTTCAGGGCCTATTAGAATCACAAATCCATGGAAACAGAGCAGTTGCCAACACATTTTCTTTTAGTAAAAAAGAACTGCTTCTGAGTAAGGGTGGATTATGTTTTTCAATACCATATATTTGCTACAAAGTATACTGATAGAGTCTAAACATTAATTGTGCATTCATAATGTCCTGGTTCCTATCTCATAAACACAAAATCGATCTTGGCCCTAATTTACTTTCTTTGGTTCCATGCTTAGGGGCAGCAGAAAAATAACATGACCAAAATGAAAGTGTATCCGATTGCAGTATAAAGTACCACTTTTAATGAAAGATCATGTCCACATGTGATGGAGAAATAAAAACCAAGGTTAATTAATGTCACATAAAGCCCACAAAGTATCATTTATATAGAGAGCACTTACAATGCACTATGGTTTTATAAAACAAAACTCCTCAAGCAACGTGTACCAGTTTCGGGTTTTAGCTAGCATGAGAACAATTAACATGTTTTTAAGTTTTTGTTTAAATTTTGTTTATAGACTTGGTAAGAGGTATTTTCTTTGGAAAGTAGTGACTGGTTTTAGCCTCTGAGTTCTTGATTTATGAGCAATAAATCTTGATAACCAAGCATTTCGATAATTATACATTTTCTAATTGTTCCCGCCATTTAACTTTTTAAAACTATAGAAAGTTTTTGTCAGGAATTACAGTGATGATCTAATTCTACCTACCCAAATTTCCTCCTCCTTTTGAGATAAAGAAAAAATTAACCAACTAGCCTAAACCCATTGTGTCCGTTTGAATACTCCAGGAAGCAGATGCCAAGAGAGAATTAGGAGGCCAAGAAATTTATTGGCAGAAAAGCCTACGAGGGAGGAGAAGAGAGGGAACTGCAATGAGTGAGAAGAGCCTCAGACCACAGTGCTGATCTGACACCTGTAAAGGGAGAGACGGAAGGGCCAAGGATGTGGTGGGACGATGGCCAGACTGTAGTAGAGCTCTGACGAAGTCTGAGCCATCAAAGGGCTCCAGAGCAAAGACTGCCCGTCAAAGGAAAATGAAATGTGTGGTCATGGCCCAGCTCTAGTACCCCTCTGTGCTCAGTCATTGTTTAGGCAACCCAGGGAGAGTATGGCCTCAGTGTGGATGCTGTGGTAGACCCTGAAGTTGTGGCCTTTGTAGGCTGTCAGCTAGCCACACCTCTCAAAGCAGGTTCTCTCTTGAAAGGAGATCAGAGCAGTTCACTCCCATGGCTGCCAGGGTCTACCCCTTGCACAGCACAGACATGCTTCTCCATCCATGTTAGGGGATTAGCTCCTCCATCACTCCTATGGCTCTCTTCTCCGAGGGGGGAAAGCTAGAAGAGGCAGATGAGGGATGACGTGTAATCTCCTTGGGGCTGCAACAGATACTCATCATCTCCTCTACACTGTCCATTGTTTTTAGCTTGCCCTCAGCTACTAACTTGGCAGGTCTTGGTAGGGTACCTGCTCATGCCTTAGCCCTTACTCAGGGAGTCAGAGACC